CAGCAGCACTCTGAGAATAAATTGGAGGCTGAGAAAAACCATGGGCAGGAAGACCAGCTTGACTGTTGCAGGTGATGGCAGCGTTTGTGGTCATCAGGTTAAATGATGGTGAGGGCCTGGACCAGAGCAATGGCAGGAAAGGAGGAGGAATTAATGGAAATGCTGAGGACTTGATACCTGACCAGATATGATAGGTGTGGGAGAAGTCAAAGATTATTCCTAGATTTCTGATATGAATGAATAAGGAATGATGTTACTCACAATAGGACGTGCATGAGGTAAGTTCGGAGTTGGAACCAATGAGTTTGAGGTTCCTGTGAGAAAACAAATGGAGTTGTCTGAGAGGCAGACAGCTGGTTATCTGGTTTTGGAACTCAAGGTACAGAAAGGATTTGGGAGGCATAAGTGTATATGTGATAGTAGATGCTAAGAAGATTATAGAGAGTGAGCAGCGTGAGAAATATTGGGTCTGGCAACTAAATTGATATTGGAAGTCTTTATCATAGCAAATTTAGTGGAATGTTGGGAGACTGATCCAGATAACAGTGGGCTGAGGAATGAAAAATTGGATAATAAATAAAAATGAATCATCTGCAAGGGAAAAGCAAAATTATTTCTCATATTAGCACCAAAGTATCAGTGAACTTCTGTGTGCATAAGACTAGGGCTAAGAGCTGTTGAGGCAGTATAGCTTAATGGTTAAAACCATGGGCTTGAATTCTGTATTGATCATTTACTAGCTGTGTGATCTTGGGTAAGTTACTTAACTCTGAGCCTGTTTCCTCCTCTATAAACTGTAGATAATATCTTTTTAAAATGCTGTGAGAATCAGGTGATAGATATACACATGCCTATTTATGGTACAGAAAGTCATGTGTGTGTATGTATGAATGTATCTTGGCATATGGTATCAATAAATAGCTATTATTATTATTAACAATTAAGGGATAGAAAAGAACCTGTTAGTTTTGTTGCAAAGGAAGGTAAAGTAGCTGATGATGAAGTTTTAATAGTAATATAAAACGTATTTTTTGAGTGACAAATGAGTGATGTGGACAGTTATTGCCTTCAGAGCACAGCAGAAGTTTGCATGCTGGAAAGCTTATAGTCATTATCTGCTGAGTGCTTGCCAAGATGTACCAGGCACTGTTTGGTCCTTTTACATGTATTATCACATTTAATTCACATAATAACTTAGTGAAGTAGGTACTATTGTAGCTACCCATTTTAAACAGATGAGGAAATGAAGGCACAGAGAAGCTGAATAACTTGCCCATGGCCATGCAGTAAGTGGCAGGGCAGAGATTCAGACTTAGGCAGGCTGACTGCAAAGCTCTGCTCTTAACTGTTGTATGGTGCTACCTCTTGAAGATCATCCATACAGCTTTACTTGTTCATTCATGTCTGGATCCAGGGCCCAAACAAGGTCATCAGGATTTTCTCTCATACTCTGTCTTTGCCTTATTTTTTCTCTGTGTTGGCTTCATCCTCAGGCAGGCTTTCCCTGTGGGGTAGCAGTATAGCTGCTGGGAGTCCTAGAATCACATATTTATAATTTAGCAATCTCAGTGAGAAGAGAGAACCTCTGTTTACAATAGTTCTAGCAAACCAGAATTGATTTTCATTGGGTCAGTAAGGGTATTATTCCCATTCCTGAATCAGTCACTGTGGCCTGAGGGTAGCGATAGGATATAATGGAATACTCTTAATGGCTGGGCTGGGTTGTGTGAATATTCACCTGTGACTCTGAGATGGGGGCAGGGAGCCCTTTCCTACAGGGAACATCAAGGTGCCATTACCAAAAGAATGAGAATGGATACGGGCTAGGCAAAAACAACAGATGTCTACCACACTTAAGATATTAGGACTATGCTCACATTATAGAATGTTTCTGCTTGGTTCCTGTTTTAGCCTTAATATGTCAATATTTTCACAGAATTATGATGAATTATGACAAATTGAAATCACGTCTGGGTGAGATTCATGATAGCAAAATGCGTCTAGAGCAGGATTTGAAGAAACAAGCTTTGGACAACCGGGAAATAGATAAAAAAATGAACAGTATCAAACCTGACCTGATACAGCTGCGCAAGATCCGAGATCAGCACCTTGTGTGAGTAGTCTGGGCCGGTATGGGAGGAAATACCAGCACCAGATTACTGCTGGCACTAGACTCGTTAGAGGTAGAAGAGATTTGTAACTGAGAACTGGCCAGTGAGATTTGTAAGAATTTAGGAAAGCAATCCTGGTAGTATTTGGTGGTACCCGAGTTTACCTAAAGTCAACATGTGGGGCAAACCACAATGTAGCATTCTAGATTCTAGTCCATACAAATGGAAAATCTCAGAGGTTGGGTGTGGCATGAGCAATGTGGTGTAGCTTAAAAAGAACAGGTTAATGTTTGCCTAAATACAAAAACCAGAATCTTTGATTACATAGTAGAACCACAGAAATAGAAATTACCCCTCATAATAACACTGATAGTGGGGGCCTACAAATAAGTATACAGGACAGTCTCCTAAAGGGTTTTTATATATAAGAAATGAAATTCTGTATTCAAGTAATAGAAATGTGCCAATAGCAGGCATGCAAGGTAATCTGACCTGAGGAATGAAACTCAACTCTTTAGAAAACTGTATGATTTAGATAGATATAGGGATATTACTCAAATATAGATTGAAAGGTATATTATCAGAACAAGATGATAGATTTTTAGGACAAATGACTGTCTTATAGGAGAGAATCCATGAGAAACAAAAATATGTTTTGTTCTAGGTAATGAATAGACTGCTACAAAATATGTTTATAGGTGACTTTCATGCATGGAACACAACTTGATTCAAACTCTTGGTAGAACACAAAGTAAAGACCTCTGACTGGATTTTCCATAGACTTCAGGGTTTCTTTGTATGAGAAAGGGAGAGGGGAGAAAATAAAAGCTTAAGAGGTGGGGACAGTGGCTATTGAGTAGAGTAAAATTTAAGGTGATAAGTTTTGGGGGCAAACAATTAGAACTATGCTGTGCTGAGTAGTTTTTAGTAACTCCTTTCTAGAGATCATTTGTTTGCTATTGTGGACAAAAAACAAAAGTCAAGCAAGTACACAAAGCATATAGAAGAGCCTTGGAAACAAGGCAAGGAGGTACCTTGTCTAAAATCAGGGTGTGTCTGCTCTCAGAAAGCTTATGTGATTCTGGTCATATAATGAAGCTGAAGAAAGGCCCAAGAAGAAGGCTTATGCCACAGACCAAAGGAATGAATGGAAGCCCTTGTTTGCTCTGGAAAGTGATGAGATTATTAAAAAATACACCATCCCAAGAGGCATGAATAAGTGTGGCAAACTAGACCTTGAAGGTTCCTTTAACAAATTATGTAAACTAAATATAGAAGAGAGTTTAGATAACATCATGGGTGATAAATCATGATCTGCTAGTAAAGATAACTAGGGTGTTTAGGGAGATATTTATTGAGTATCTACTATATCCTGGCACTGTTTTCAGCATTGGGAATAGTCATGAACAATAGGACAGACCCCTTTCTTACATTTTAGTGGGGGAGACAAACATAAGTGAAAATATAAAATAATGAATTTCAGGCAAGTGCTATGAAGATGATAAAATAAGGTAAAATATAGAGAATGAGTGACAAGGGGACTGCCTCAGTTGGGATAATTAGGGCAGTCCTCCCTGAGGAGATGATGTTTATGATGAGACCTGAATGATCGGAGCCTGGTTGGGGGATGGTGATGAGTGAAAGAGTTTTTATACTCACTCAAATTTTTAGACCAGTGGCCATGTCAGTGGAACTAAATTTAATGGTATGTTGTTTTACATTTAAAGTTTTGGTGTATCTTAAAATACTATGATTTGCCTAGTGATGAGGTAAATTTATATTAATTACTCAGATTGCCATCCTGAATTTCTTGTGGCTTGCTTAGGTACGAGAATAGACCTTGAAATTGTTTTAGAATGTTTAACTCAATGTAGTGGGCCACACAGGAATTGAGTCTTCTGGCTTAGTGGAGATTGCAAATGTGACACCATGCTCACATAACTAATGATTTCAGAAACAGATGTCCCCATGTGTTTAAGTGAAAGTATATGTGTGCTTATGGTGGTACAAACTTCTAGAAAAGGAAAATGAAAAATGAGAGAAGTGCCTAATTTCAGTAAACTCCCTGTGTTTCTGCTTTTTTGTGGAAAGTTGGAGGAAAAATTAAGGAGAAACTAGTTTAAGGAAATCTCTGGCCCCTTTTAGTGGGAGTGGGTTAAAATAAGAGGTTCCTGGAATCTGGAAATTTGGTTGGCTTGGACATGTCTACATTGGGCAGAGTTTGCAGAGATACTGACACTGGTGTCTTCCTTCTGGCAGATGGCTCAATCACAAAGGAGTGAGACAGAAGCGCCTAAATGCCTGGCTGGGAATCAAGAATGAGGATGCTGATGAGTAAGTTCTCTACCTTTCTATCAGAGGGGTTTGGTCCCCAATCTAAGATGTGGGGCTTCTTTATACATGCCAAGTGTTGGCTCTCATTGTCAGTTGAGGACATTGAATCAGGAACTTTGCACCTCTTTTAAATTGAATTGCTTGAAGAGTAGAGTACGCTACAGGCACTTGAGGTCAGAGACCTGCTGAGCCACTTGAAATCTTGGTGCATGAGCATTGCTCATTCAGACATTCTTTGTCAGCTGATTGGATGAGAGGTGTGAATTTCCTGTTTTCTGCACCGTAGCAAATAACAAAGTTGTTAAAAAACGTCCCAAGTAATTGTAGTTTTACTTCGTCATTTTGTGGTTAAAGATTTAGAATGAGTGTTTTATTCATGAGTTTGCATTTAGGTGTAAGTAACCTGATTGTTAGAATAATATTTTAACATTTAATTTTTAGGACCTATTTTATCAATGAGGAAGATGAAAACCTGCCCCATTATGATGAGAAAACCTGGTTTGTTGAGGATATCAATCGAGTACAAGCAGAGGACTTGCTTTATGGGAAACCTGATGGTGCATTTTTAATTCGTGAGAGTAGCAAGAAAGGATGTTATGCTTGCTCTGTGGTGTAAGTCTTCTCTAGCGGTTTAACCTTTTGAAAATTTCTGCATTGATTAATAGAAACTCAACCCTTCATAAAATTCAAATAATTCAAAAATTATTTGAAGTACAGTAATGAGGACCCATGGCTTAGACCTTTAATATTTATTTTTATTTTTATTTTTATTTATTTATTTATTTTTAAGATTTTATTTATTTATTTGACAGAGAGAGACACAGCAAGAGAGGGGACACAAGCGGGGAGTGGGAGAGCGAGAAGCAGGCCCCCCGCAGAGCAGGGAGCCCGATGCGGGGCTCGATCCCAGGACCCTGGGATCATGACCTGAGCCGAAGGCAGACGCTCAACGACTGAGCCACCCAGGCGCCCCAGACCTTTAATATTTATATAAAGAAAACAGTTAGTTGCTTTAGGAGAAATGATATCTGAAATTATTTGGGGGATTTTAATTTCAAATGGTAAGCAGATTAGCCCTGCATGTTGCTATTGGATTTTCAGGCATTTGTGAAAAGTAATATGAGATCTTCAATTGAAAGATCGCCTAAGGAGGGGTGCCTGGCTGGCTTAGTCAGTAGAGCGTGTGACCCTTGATCTCAGGGTCATCAGTTCAAGCTCTTCATTGGTTGTGGAGCCTACTTTAAATAGATAAATTAATTGAAAAATTTTTTTAAAAATCATAATTTTGTCGTAGTCTCCTGCATGTCTAATTTGGGCTTCAATGTCCGTTTAAGTAAGGCTTGATTAAGAATTGTTTTTTACTTCAGAAGAAAAACTATCTAAATTTTGTACTTAAGTAGTTTTCTGTTGCGGTAGTGATCGAAAATGTTGGTATTTTCTGTAAGATGATCTCATGACTTTGTTTGGAAAAGCCTATTTTATTAGTTTCCATCCATCCACCCATCCGTTTATTTATTTACTTATTTAGATTTATTTGAGAGAGAGAGCAAGTGCATGGCAGAGTAGGGGGAGGGACAGAGAGAGAGAATCTTCAAGCAGACTCCCTGCTGAGCACAGAGCCCGCCGTGGGGCCTGATTCCGCGCTACAACCCATGAGATCACAACTGAGCTGAGATCACGAGTCCGAGGCTTAACTGACTGAGTCACCCAGATGCCTCTATTAGTTTCTTTTTAATGGAAGGTGAAATTCTGGGGACAACTAACCATGTCTGTCACATTTTGCCTAAGTGTTGTGTATACTCCTTCACTGACAAAGACCATACTTAGAATGAAGGTATATTATGATTGTTATGAGAGCAAGCTTTGGTACCAAATATATTGCATTCAAATCCTGACTCTACTTACCAGATGTGTGACCTAGGGTAAATTACTTAACCTTTCTTTGTCCAGTTTCCTTATCTGAAAAATAAGGATAATAATATCTACTTGAGGGTTTTTATAAGTATTAAATTAGTTAATACATGTAATGTGCTTTGATCAGTGTTGGTACATAATAAGTGAATGTTATCTACCAGTATTATTATGATAATGATGCTACTGATGGACATGGCAGAAAGCAAGCAAAAATAACAAAATGATTTTGCCCTCAAAGAGGGCAAGGTGGTGAGAATGGACAAAAGACACTCATATTAACAGAGTGCTCAGTGCTTTACGTGATCATCTCATCCTTAGTTGGTCTATGGAGTCGGAGTTTGAATCCAAGTTTACCTGGTTTCAAAGCCCACGTTTTTCTGTTGCACCATACTTTTTTCATTTCACAATTAAATATCCAAGATAAATAGAATCACTGTGAAATAGGTATCATCAGTAGGCTGTACACATGAAGAACTATTCTGGTGGAGAGGGAGAGGGTTGGGAGGTTTTGTGGAAGAGGTAGCATTTGAACTGGACTTTGAAAGGATGAATAATGGGATATCTGTGGGCAGAATATGGGGGAGGACATGAAAAGTGCATTGGATTACTGTTTTGCAAAGATACAATTATTTTAAATATTTTTAAAAGATTTATTTATTTGAGAGAGAGAGTGAGAGTGGGAGTGAGTGAGCATGCAAGCAGGGGGAGGAGCAGACGGAGGGGGGAAGCAGACTCCCCACTGAGCGTGGAGGCTGACTTGGGGCTTGATCCCAGGACCCCAAGATCATGACGTGAGCTGAAACCAAGGGTCAGATGCTTAACGGACTCAGCCGCCCAGGTGCCCCTACAATTATTTAAAACATTTCTTTTTTCTCTTACCCGGGCTGCTTAAGTTACCTGAGTGGAAATGCCAAGATAGGGTGGTTCTTATAGAAATTGAGATCTTTTAAAAATAAAAAGAAGAAAGGCAGTAAGTAAGCCCAGTGCATTGGTACCCTCACCTAGGTCATTGGGTGGCAGCCTGTGGGTCAAGGACTTGGCTGGTGGAAGATACTGCCCAGCAGCTCAGCTAATTCCTGGGAGACCAAGGAGCAGCTTGAGTATCTTGAGGAGGTGTATTCTTTTTCTCCTTCCTTTAGCCACAGACTTGACCATTAAGTCCACAGCAATGTGGAATTCCCTTGCTTATGAAAAACATCTGCAGTCGTAATCATGTTGGCATTCACACTGAGGATGGTTGGAAGCAAAAGAATCTGGCATCACAAAGACTCCCACTTGTTTGCCAGCCATTCTGGCTATAGGAAGCCTGCCTATAGTAATCTCCCAGTATACTTAGAACATTTGCTGAAGTAGGAATATGAATATGTTCAGTTTTTTAGGAGATTCTCATAGCAGAATTAACATGATCATGTAGGAAGTCACACATGGAACTCATTTGTTCTTCCATTTTAATTTGTTAATGACATCATCAAGAAGCCTAAGAAGAAAAATTGCTTAACTCTACAACCTTCTTACGCTAAAGACCTGCAGCCAGCAATGCCTGTATTCACTAGGTTAAGGATTCAGGTAGTGAACACTTGTGATCCTTATTGCCATTTGGGGTAAAAAATTTGATTAGGGATAGAACTAGACAGATCAGAAAGGTAGAAGAAGATTTGAATGATATTATAAAACAACTAGACTTAATAGACCTATCCAGAACACTCCATCTAACAACAGCAGAATACACATTCTTCTTAAGGGCACATGAAACATTATCCAGGATAGGCCATAGGTTAGGCCATAGTCTCAATACATTTAAAAGTGTTGAAATCCCACAAAATATGCTTTCTAACCACAGTGGAAAGAAACTAGAAATCAAAAACAGGAAATTTGGGAAATCCTCAAATGTGGACAGTGACCAACACATTCCTAAATAACCAGTGGATCAAAAAAAGAAAACGAGGGAAATTAGAAAATACTTTGAGATGAGTAAAAGAAGAAACACAACTTATCAAAACTCACAGAATTCAGCTAAAGCAGTGCTAAATGCTAAATTTATAACTGTAAACATTTATGTTAAGAAAGGGAGATCACATATTAATAAAGTAACCTTCCACCTTAAGAAACTAAAAAAGGAAGAGCAAACTAAACCCAAGCAAAAAAAAGGGAATAATAAAGATTAGAATGGAAGTAAATGAAATAAAGAGTAGAAAACAATTGAGAGAATCCATGAAACCAAAAGTTCGGATGGAACTGAATTACAGCCTCAAGCTAAACTGCCCCCATCCCCACAGAGAAGAAACAAATTACTAAAATCAGGATGAAAGAGGGGTCATTACTTATAGTCCTTATAGAAATAAAAAAAAAGATAATGAGGAAATACGATAAACAATCATATACCAAAAAATTAAAACCCAGATGAAATGGACAAATTCCTGGAAGCACACAAACCACTGAAACTGGCTTAAGAGGAAGCAGAAAATGTGAATAGAACTATAACAAGAAATTGGGTTATTAATAATTAAAAAGCTACCCACATAGAAAAGCCCAGCCCAATTGTGTTCACTGGTGAATTCTGCCAAATATTTTAAAAAAGAATTAACAGAAGTCCTTCACAAACTCTTCCCCACAAAAAGAGAACACTTCCCAACATTTCATGAGGGCAGTATTATTGATACCAAAACCAGACAAAGATAATCACAAGATAACTATGGACCAATATCCCTTAGGAACACAGACACAAAAATCCTCAACAGAATACTAGCAAGGCAACTCCAGCAGCATATAAGGATTATATACCATGACTAAGTAGAATTCATCCCAGGAAGGCAAGGGTTTTTTCAATTTAAAAAAACCCAAAAAACAACAATGAACATAATATACTGCATAATAGGATAAAGGACAAAAATCACATGATTCAATAGAATCACAAAAACCATTTGACACAATCTAGCACTCTTGTTTAAAAAAAGTCTGAACAACCTAGGAATAGGGTTCTTCCTCAACTTGATAAAGGGTAACTATGAAAAACTCAGAGCTAATATACTTAATGGTGAAAGATAGTGCTTTCCCCTAAGAAAGGAAGAAAACGAAGATGTCCACTCTCACCACTTCTAAACATCATTGTACAGAAGGTTCTAGTTAAGGTAATTGGACAAGAAAAAGAAATAAAAAGCATCCAGTTTGGTAAGGAAGATGTAAATTATTAGAGCTAATAAATAAGTTCAAGGTTGCAGGTTAAAAGATCAGGATTCAAAAATCAGTTGTATTTCTAAATACCAGTAATAAACAATCTGAAAATGAAATGAACGCATTCTACATATAATATCATCAAAAATACCAGTAGGATTAATACAAAAAGAAATGCAAGAGCTGTATGGTGAAAACTATAAAACATCATTGAAAGAACTCAAAGGGAGACTTAAATTTAAGTGGAAAGACATCCTGTGTTCATGGATTAAAAGACTTAATATTGTTAAGATAGAAATAACTTCCCAAATTGAGCTACATGTTCAATGTAATCCCTATCAAAAATCTCAGGGGGACTTTTGTAGAAATTGACAAAATGATCCTACAATTTATATGAAAGTACAAGGGATCCAGCACAGCCAAAATGATCTTGAAAGAATAGAGAAAGTTGAAGTACACCTCCTGATTTCAAAACTTAAAAAACAAAGGGGTAGTAATCAAAATTGTGAGGTGCTAACAAGGATAAACATGTAGATCAATGAATAGAATTGAGAGTCAAGAAATAAACCCTTACATTTATGGTCAGTTGGTTTTCAACAAGGGCCTGACGACCATTCAGTGGGGAGGAAGTAATCATTTTAACACATGAAGCTGGGACAACTGGAAAGCCACATGCAAAAGAATAAAGTTGGACCCCTACCTCACACCATATATAAAAATTAACTCAAAATGGATCATAGACCTAAATGTAAGAGCTAAAAGTATAAAATACTTAGAAAACATAGACATAAACCCTTGTGACTTTGGATTAGGCAGTGGTTTCTTACAAACCAAAAGCAAAAACAACAAAAGAACTAGATAATTTGGATTTCACCATATAATTAAAAACATTTTATATCAAAGGGCACTATCAAAGTGAAAACACAACACACAGAATGGAATATTTGCAAATCATGTATCTGTTAAGCAACTAGTGTCTAAATCATAACCCTTAACAGTAAAAAAAAACCCCAAGGGCCTCAATTTAAAAATTGGATGGACGTTTAAAAAAATGGTAAAGGATTTGGATAGACATTTAAAAAAATTCACATACAATTAACATAGTGTTATATTAGCTTCAGGTGTGCTACATAATTCAACAATTCTATACATTTCTCCCAAAGTTCAGCAAGATAAGTGTGCTTTTAATCCCCTTTATTTATTTCACCCATCCTCCTACCCATCTTCTCTCTGGTAACCACCAGTTCTCTGTATTTAAGATCTGAGGTTTTTTTGGTCTTTTTTCCCCTTGTTTGTTCATTTGTTTTGTTTCTTTAGTTCCACATATGAGTAAAATCATATGGTATTTGTCTTTCTCTGACTGATTTCACTTAGCATCATACCTTCCAGGTCCATCCATGTTGTTGCAAGTGGTAAGATTCCATTCTTTTTTATGGCTGAGTAATATTCCTCTGTGTGTGTGTGTGTGTCTCCCATATCATCTTTATTCATCTATCTTGATGGACACTTCGGTTGCTTCCATATCTTGGCTATTGTAAATAATGCTGCAGTAAACATAGGGGTGCATGTATCTTTTTGAACAGTGAAGGAAATCAACAGAACAAAAAGGCAACCTACTGACTGAGAGAAGACTTTTGCAAATGATATATCCAATAAGGGGTTAATATCCAAAATATATAAAGAACTTAGACAATTCAACACACAAAAACCCAAATAACCCAATTAAAAATGGGCAGGGGACCTGAACAGACATTTTTCCAAAGGAGACATACAGAGTGCCAACAGACACATGAAGAGATGCTCAACCTCACTCATCATCAGGGAAATGCAAATCAAACCCACAATGAGATACCACCTCACACCTGGCAGAATGGCTAAAATCAACAACACGTGTTGGCAAGGATGTGGAGAAAAAAGAACCCTTGTGCACTGTTGGTGAGGATGCAAACTGGTGCAGCCACTATGGAAGACAGTATGGAGGTTCCTCAAAAGATTAAAAATAGAATTAATATGACTCAGTAAGTGGACTACTGGGTACTTACCCGAAGAAAATAGAAATTCCTTTAAAGAAGATCTATAAATGGTCAATAAACATATGAAAAGATGCTCCACATCGTTAGTCCTTAGGGAAGTACAAATTGAAACCACAATGAGATACCACTAGGATCATTATAATAAAAAAGATGGACAGTAACAAGTGTTGACATGGATGTAAAGAAATCGGAACCCTTGTACACTGCTGGCTAGAATAGAAAGTGGTACAACCACTTTGGAAGGCAGTTTGGCAGTTCCTCAAAAAGAGATACCATATGACTCAGCAGTTCCACGCCTGGCTCTCTATATATCCAAGAGAATTAAAAACGTACATCCGTACAAAAAACTTGTACACAAATGTTCAGAGCAGCATTATTCAGAAATAGTAAAAAAATTAGAAACAACCCAAGTGTCCCATCAGTTGATGAATGGATAAACAGAATGTGGTGTCCAGACCGAATATTACGCAGCCACAGATGAAGTACTGATATATCTACAGCCTGGATGAACTTTGAAAATGTGCTAAGGTGAAAGAAATCAGATACAGAAGGTTGTGTGATAGTGAAGGTTTCCATTTATGTGAAATGCCAAATTAAGCAAATCCAGAGACAGAAAGTTGTTAGTGTTTGTCAAGGTCCAGGGGGAGGAGAAATAGAGTGACTGCTAATGAGTACATGGTTTCTTTTTAGGGTGATGAAAATATTCTGGAATTAGATGGTGGCGATTGTTCCACAAGCTTGTGAATATTCTAAAAATCATTGATTTGTATACTTAAAAAAAAAAGTGTTCTCTTTCCCGTGCATTCTTGCCTCATGAGATGCAGAGCTGAGTGATTAAATTCAGCCATCCATTTTCATTCCACCAGGTCTTGGTGCGAGGTGAAAGATATCTCTGTGATAAGTCTGTAAGAGGGCGAGGGGACACACATGGACGTGACATTTTACAAACTTTGGCAAAACACTTCTACACCTCCTCCTTTGCAGAAAAATTGTTCAGACTTCTGGTCATTTGGGGGTCTCTTTATCTATCGTTCCTTGCCTTAATTCCCTGTGGTGTCTGTGTGTTGTGTCTTTGCAGTGCCGACGGGGAAGTGAAGCACTGTGTGATCTACAGCACTGCTCGGGGCTATGGCTTTGCAGAGCCCTACAACCTGTACAGCTCCCTGAAGGAGCTGGTGCTCCATTACCAGCAGACCTCCCTCGTTCAGCACAACGACTCCCTCAACGTCAGGCTTGCCTACCCTGTCCACGCACAGATGCCCTCACTCTGCAGATAAAGAGGGAGTGGGAAGAGAGGTCGCTCTCTAGCATTTTTTTCCTACAGTTTTTATTAGACTATGAGGGCATTCTTTCTACGTAGACTGCTTGTTTTGCACAAGAAGTGATTCTGTGAATGTGGAGAGGCCGAGCAGCAGCCGGCCAGGATGGGGGCACAAGAGGCCTGAGGTCCTCTGAGACTCAGCTGTGCCGCTGCACTGACATAGGAAGCTGGAAGCAGATGTTTTTTTGGAAAGTCTGTTTCATTGGGGCTTTTGTTTAGCCAGGCACCCTCAACAGAACACATTAGGTTTGGTGGGGGTGGGGGGTTATATCTGGAAATTTCTGAAGAGTCCACGTCCTCTCTTGGTCTTTGTCTCTGGGAATGTGGCAGGGGCATGGCTCTGTGGGGAGTTCTGTTTTGATCTGGCAGTCTCTCTCAACTTCCTCCTAAAATGAAGGCTGTTTTGGTTCTGTGGTAGAATGGCATTTGGTGAAAAAGACAACCAAAGGAAAATGGGGAGGCTTGGGATTTCATTGAGAGAATCTTAGTCAAGGGGGTAAAAACACCTTCAGCTGAAGGTACTTTATTAACTAACATAAGTTAAGCGTCAACATCTCAGTAGCTCTTCCCTCTAAAGAAGCGTTATGTTTAGAAGCCAAATTGATCTCAGCAGAACAGTTTGTTGCCAGACTAAGGTCTGATGGAAGAAGACAGCACTACTATCTGAATGCACACTTCTGTACCAAAACTTGAAAGTGAAAGGAGAACTAGAATTTGTTAGTTTTAGCAAACACTAAAATTGGTCAGTGTAACTCCTGCCCTGCCCTTGTTTCTCAGAGATGAGGAATAGTGTTCTTTTTGTGGGCATGGTGAACTTTGAATCATAAAATGAAGTTGGTGCTTGTGTGGTGTTTCCTTAGCCTAAAGAATGATCTGTTGTTGAAAACCTTTGTAACTTGTTTGTATGAGTAAAGAAAAGGTGCAATCCAGTGCTTTTAGACGGCTTGATATACCAAATAATGATATAGAACAACAGTCTTATGTGCTTCCCAAATTTAAAGGCCCTGCAGAAACAGTAAACATGGTTTAATTTCCCTTGATCTCCCTGTCCTTTGTGGGGTAGGGCTTAGGGGAGCCATGGGTGGCGAAGGCTGTAGCAGGAGGGGAGCCTGACTGTTGTTGGGGACCTCGGAGGCTCTGGTGTCTAGGGTGAGGGTCATCCACGTTACCTGTGTGCTTCCATGCAGTGGTTTCTGAAACTTTTGTAAGGAGAGGAAATAATGGCTTGGAGTTTATAGACTGTTAGTAAAAGCCATCTGGAAGTTTTTCTCTTTGCCATTTTTGTGAGCCTGCCATTAAGATGATGTGCACAGACGGTCCTCATGCTCCAGTGGCCCTGATTTTAGGCCAGGAATCTTCCGCTCCATGTGGTTTAAGCCTTCCAGCCGAGTGGAGCTAGGCGAGTGAAGCTGGGGGCAGGCGTGTACTCCTACCTCCTTTATGCCCCACCCCCATCAGTCAACACTCATTCGACAAATAGAGTTCAGCTGCCTCTGAGCCAATGCTGGAACCATAATAGGCTCAGAGTGAGTCAGCTGTTTGAGTCCAAAGCTGTGCAGTCAGGCGTCCTGGCTGAACTAGAGAAGCAGCCGGTATCTGGGTCTTGGTACCTAAGGTTTACAGCTAGGAAAGCTGTAGTTATAGAATGAAAAAATAAATCTTGCTTTCCCTGAGCACTTATCTTGGTGACAGGGTCTAGAATGGACCATGATATAAAAACAGATTAAAAATTTTGGAAAAACCTCTGGAGTTACTAACAATGAGGATAGGAAGGAAAGGGCCTATCTTCGGCTTTTCTTTGGTTCCATTGCAGTTTCAGGATTAGGCGAGGCGGACAGATGAACCCGTCCTTCCAGTGTCATGTTCTGACTTAAGCCCTTAGCTGAAAGCCAGCTGCACGTCTCTTCTCCACATTGCCAGGCTGAAGTCTTGAAGGTTTTACTGAGTAATGTCAGGCTAGTTGCTGCTGGGATGGCCTTACACCTGGTGTTGAACCTGCTTAAGCAGTTGGATGCTCAGGATTGGGTGCAAGAAATCCCTCCCTTCTGGTATTAAAATTTAGTGTGTTCTGACTCTGTGGGAGTAAGGATGCACGCCTGTGACCTTGAGCCGTGTGTTGCTCCTTTTTAGGCAGACACAAAGGGTGCGTGGAGAGGGAGCTAGGACCATCTAATACCTAAACTTACATATAAGGACTGGCTTGTGGAGGACTGCTCTTTTTTTAATCCTATATTCCTTCACTTTTTCTTTCCTGTTTTTCATTCTTGAATTTGTTGCTCTGTGGGAACTAAGACCTAGGGATCATTTGAGAAGTTGGAAAATCTCTCTTCTGACTAGTTGCCATATCATTTGCTTGATCCTGAGCCAGTGGAAATGGCATAGGGACCAATCTGCTAACCACAGGGAGGGGTAGTATGCAGCTCCTATAATTCATGGTCTTGGCGGCCTTCGTCGGAGCCTAGCTAGCTCTGTGTCCTGTCCCATGATTTAGGCCCTCGGACGTTCTCTCTCTCTCTCTCTCTCTCTCTCTCTCTCTCTCTCTCTCTCTCTCGGCATCCTAACTGCAGCTTCACTGAAGCAGAGAGTAAAGAAACAGACTAAGACCGGAGGGGCGCATTGTTTCTCTGGCTGGGCAGGCCAGCCACCAGCGTGGAAGCAGCCAGAAGCCGGCTGAACACAGGTCCCAGGCCCATCTTTTCCAGGTGGAGGTTTCATCACAGAACAGCGGTCTCTGTCGCTTCCTGATCATAGATGGTAAGTCTTGGCCAGGGCTCAGGACTGCATTGGCTAACTGTGTCCTTACCACTGATTTGGCCAAGGTGGAGGACTTCCTGTTACCTCCCCTACTCCATCTCCAAACCTTGATGGGACCTCCCACTTACTTTGGACCTCATGTGCCCTAAAGAAGCATTGATAGCCAATGTGGTGTCTTCCATAGGTCTCCTCTTCTTGCTGCAAGGAACCAGCCTCATGGGTCCTCTTGGCCAAGAATTGCATCTGGACAATTCCTGGTTACAAGGTGGTCTCTGTTGCCAGTTAAGACTCCAGAGTAGGCCTCTGTGAGGCTTCTGTGGCCTCAAAGCAGAGGGTGCAGATGGGGGCCTGGCTGGGCTCTCTGCTGTCAGCTGCTCATCCTTGCTCTAGCTCTAGCCCTAGCCACTTGTGACAACCTTGTTTCCTTACAAATTCCAGCATGACTTTGGTGCCCTGTTGTTACTTGTGAAAAACCTATTCTTCTGTTGTCTTTGATGTAGTTTAAAAAAAAAAAAAAACCCACGTAGTTTACGTAAAAATACCTGATTCACAAAGAAGCCAACTATATGTCTTGTGTTGGGACAGTTCATAATGTAGTTCCTAGACCACTTTTGCAAATTGTTCTTGTCACCAGATGTGTTCAGACATTGCTGTGCAGTTGTGGGGAGGGTGGGGGGGAAGTGAGGGGAGATACTTTTTGGTCTTTTGTTTTTTTTTATCTTCCCCAAGAGGGGACAGTCTGGCCAACTTGCTCCAGTAATGCAATAAAGACATTGCAATAAAGCATCTTTTTGTCCTCATGCTATGGAGGGGTGGGCTAGGGGTGGGCTGTGAGAGGGGGATTAGGATATTGAAAGCCCTGAAACTCCCAAACCTTCTCTCCCATGAGCACCAAAAGATTGGTCCTGGGGCTGAACTGGGGCCACCAGAGGCGCTCTTCCCCTGAGCAAGAGAAGCTGACCCTAACAGGCATGATGCCAGCATCTCATCCATCCAGCACAGGGACACAGTGAGACTTAGAAACTAGTCCTGAGAAAGTTAAATCTGAGAGCGGTTTCCTCCTCACCCCATTCTGAAGTATTAGAAAGCCCAGCTTACTGATTCTCATCACATCTTTCTGTCTGGAAATAAAAGTGTTTCCATAGCCTATTCTGGGGGCAGGGAAAATGTTTGTTGCCCAAGGCCCTTGTCACCCTCCTGCCACAGCATTTTGTTACGGTTTCTATATGTCAGAACATAATTAACAAAATGTGACCACCTCTTTGCATAGGACATTGTAATTCTCATGTAGTCTCTCAGGCCCCACCCAGGTGTGTAGCGAATTATAAATCAGACTGGGTAGGGGATAGTCCATTGCTCTAAATTAACTTGCCTATGTCCTTTCTCCCCACTCCTAGGAACTATAGAGGATTTCCCCATATCCCAAGAGTTGTGCCTACTCTTTGCACAGGATGCTCAAATTCCTGTCTCCAACCCAGTCCTGTCTTCTGAACTCTACCTGTTGGCTAGATAGCTCCACTGGGGCCTTGAGTGTCCCACAGGCACTGCAAACTTCTTGTTTACAGAGAAAACATATGCTTGGCTATGAATTCCCTTACTTTTCTACCACCAAACCTGCAAATCTGCCTATATCTACATAACTCCTCTGCCTCTCACCTGTTAAAGTAGCCGCCCTCCAACTAAAAGCCAACCTTTCCACAATACTGTATAATTTTGTATCCTGTTTTCTCCCTTCTTCTCAGGAATTTCCCATGATCAGTTGTCAATTCTTTCACCGTTGTTTTCTCTCAACCGGATCATCCATTGACATTTAAACATGGTTGAATGTGTCTCACTCCACTTCCTAACCTCTACTGAATCCTATATCCCTTTATCTCTTTGCCCCCCTTCAAAGCCAAACCTTTTTACAAAAACTGTTTAAATGTCTATTTTCTCTCCTCCACCATTTTGGTACAGGTCCCACCACCAGCTGAAACTGCTCTCCTTCCTTGAGGTCTTCAATAACCATCATCCTTGACTCCTTGCCATGAAAAACTTCCCCTTGGACTCCATGATGACTCAACATCTGGTTTTCCTCCTAGATCTCTGACTGTTCCTTTTAATTCTCTTGGACGGGGTCTTTTTCCCCTGGCAGTTTTATCCACATCCATGATAACATCTACCATCTTTAGGCCATTTATGTCTGTGTTTCTCCTGCTCAATCCTCTATTGGGAGGTACCTCACAGCATATTGAATGCAGGGTCACCACCCAGCCCAGGTTCTCTTTCATTATTTCACATTTCAGTGGTAGAACTATATGCCTCACTTGGTTATGTAAGTCAGAAATGCAGTCATCATCCTTGAGACCTTCCTATGTTTCAGGATGACATAATACACACCGACAACCTATATCAATTTTATTTCCTAAGTGTCAAAGACATTACTTCTCCCCAACTTCATTTCTTCACTAAATACTGAACAGGCCTCCCTTCTTCCATAGTTGCCCCCCTCAAGTCCATTCTCATAACCAGTTATCTTTTCAAAATACAAATCTGAACCTGTGTAAAACCATTAAGTAACTTTCAATCACTCTTAGGGTAAATTAGAAAATTCTTAAAGTGGTCTGGTTTCTCCCAAGTTTAGGATCTCATCCCCTACTTCACTACTCTTCCCTGGATCCGTCCCTTCAGCCAGTCCCAATGTCTTGGGTTTTTCTCCTGCACATATTCTCTCTACAATTGCCATCTATTCCTATGGCCTTACCATCTATTTGCTGGTGGCTGCCACATCTGTGTCCGGCTCCTACACGGTTTATCCTCAAGGTTGTCCTAGTTCAGATCACTATAACACATCACTACATCATTTTCTCTCTGCTCTGAGTATTCCACTAGAGCCTCCTTACACTGCGGCCAGCGTTTTCCTAAAACATAAATGTGATTATACCACTTCCCTGCAGTTATCTTTCAGAAACCCCTCACTCCCCTCAGGCTAATCTGGCGGTGTTTCTCAAAGGAAGCACCACTGGCACTTGGGGCAGCTGCCCTATGGATTACAGGAGGCTTAGCATCTCTGTGCCTCCTCCTTACCCCACCTCCCCACCCCCCATTTCCAACCCCCTAAAGGGGCAGTTCCTTTCTCACAGGAACTGTTGCAAGATGTGCCTATCCCACCTCCTTCACCTTTGCTCTGGTGCTTCTAACCAGATCCTGATAAACGTGGGAGGCTCCCCCAAGGCAACCAGTTACCTGTGTTCCTAGCATCCAGTACAGGCTGGCTGAAGCTCTGCTGCCAGTGAACGACTGAAGGAAGAGGTGAGTTCAAGAAGGGACTGAATGAAGGCTAAGCGGCCAGACATCTACCTGTAGATTCTGGCACCATGGGCCGGGCACGCCCTCTGGCGGCCACAGCCGTCTCCATGCAAGGTTACAGAGGCTGCGGGGTGCAGGAGGCCCCCAGTGGCCCTGAGGCATCCCCCGCACCCCGTCTCCAGGCCTCTGGACGCCTCTCTTTCAAACCTAAGCATTAGATTATGGGACAGTTAGTGCAACACCACAGTTTGAAAAGTCCTGCATCACCACGGAGGTACTCCACCACAGCCCTACTCCTGCCCCTGTGAGGCCGTCTCCTGACTCCTCCAACACAGTGGTCCCATGGATGTCCTCCCCACTCCCACACCATCCACTCACCCATCTGCCGATGCTGAGGTGTCTGCCTCAGCGATGTCCACCTCCAGTGGTAAGGCCTGCCTGACAAAAGCCCAGGAAGGGTTCAATGGCTACAAACATTAAGGCATTAAGGCAATTCTGTATTTTCATCTTAAGTGGGCCTTCAACATTTTAACAACTTCCCCATCCATTTCAAAACTCTTCCCTCTCTTGGATTTTAGGACTCTTTTCTAGATGCTTCTAAGTCTTCTTTCTTTGACTTAAATGCTAGTGTTCCTCAGTGTACCACTATTGATACATTGATGGCTCTCAAATTTCTGTCTTCAGTCTAGATTTTCCTATTGAGTTCCAGGCCCATGCATCCAGTTACCTTCTGGATATCCATCAAGTACCTCAAATATATTCCAAGTTTAACTCTTCACCTCCTTCCATCTTTTTTACTCATTTTCTGGCTATGAAGCACTCCAACTAAGAAGATAAAGGTGGTTTCTGGAGTCAAGAGAGACCTAGGTTCTAATGGCTCGTTCTGCCCAAGCTATGTTACTATCTGAAAACCTGAGTTTCCCTCCTCTATAAAGCAGAGATATTAGTTGCTACATGGTCTTCCATGGTTCCCCATCACCGACACAAAGTCTAAACTGGAACTATCATTAAATATGGCCCTTGCCTAACTCACTAGACCCATTTCCACTTTGGTTTCAGTTCCTTGAATATACCAGGTATGTGGTAAGTGCTGTACTCTTTGCCTGGATACTCGGACTAATCCCCACTCTTCTAACCCAGCAAACTACTACCTACCATCTGTTCTTCAGGTTTGAGCTCAGATGTCATAGTCTCTGGGAAGCCAAGTTGGGCTAGGCAACCCTCCCCTGACAGTGGAAAGTGTTATTCACCACTATATTCCCAGCGGCAACACAGACCTTGAGTTACATTTGTGTTGACTGAAAGAAAGAAGCAAAAGACAAAGATGGTTTCCAAGAGCATGTATTACACAGGTCTGAGTGCAAGAAATAGCAAACAGTGGCTATGTTTGCTTTAAAAGCTCATCAGGTACCAGTGCCAAGTCCTGATGCTTTTGAGGGCCCCCTGACTCTCGGCCCCTCCGAAGTAGGCTGGGCCCAGGCTCCTGGGTGAGCGGGCAGCTTCTGCATGGAACGTCCGGCCTCCTGTCACCTGAGGCATCAGGCACTTCGGTGATGCCCAAGGCTGGCTCCTCTTTCTCTCTCTGTGCACCCACGGGCTCCCACAGCCAGCTCTGGTGGGGAAACTCACGAGGTGGATGGACCAGCCCAGGAGCACCAGGTGGCCAGGACTTCCCCTCCTGTCTGGGAGACTGGTTCTCAGGGTGGGCTGGAGTTATGGTTTCCAAATCCTGGGAGCTGGCCATCCCACCTTCCATTGCTGCCTTTCTGCTTGGGGATGCCCTGTCTGCACCCTCGATAAGAAATTTCCAAGACCATGGGCCTGGCTCTCCGGAGGTGGAGGAGGCAGCAGAGCGACGGGCGGGGATAAGTCCTGAAGAGCTGGGACAAAGTGCCGTTAGTGCCTGGGTGTGGAAGGGCTGGGCCTTCCAGCAGCCTTCAGGAGGGATGGGGTCTGTGCGGCCAGCCTTACGTAGGCTGGGGGCCGCTGATGAGGAGCTGACAGCCTCCTCAAAGGCTTGTGGGATCCCAAGCTTCCTCTGGGGGACACTAGGGCCTTCCACTCTGGGAGGCTTCAGTGTAACCTCTGTCAGTAGGCCTGGGACCACTGGGCCCTGACTCCCGGGGCCCCTGGACAAGAAGGCATCCTCTTCCTCACCCACTCCTGCTCCTGTGGGGGGGGGCACCCGGCCCAGTGCCGGGCGCAGTGCCAAGCTGGGCTCCTGTACGCCTTGGCTGTTCTCGGGCCCCTCCTCGGCGTCATCCTCGGAGGAGTCAACCTCACGGATGGCTTCCTGCTTCTGCAGTGACTCTCGCCGTTCAGCCCGGTCCTGTCGGAGGGTGCCGAGGGCCCGTGAGGGAGAAGGCTGCAGCACCCCCTTCCCAGACAGCACACTCCTGGTCCCGACCACCTCTAGAGGGCTGACTTCCCTGGGTGGCAGTTCCTTCTTTAGCTCGGGGTGGGGCAGGTCAAGGCTATGCTTTCGAGCAGTGGCTAGCTTCTTCTCTGAAGCAGCAAGTGCAGCTGCCAGTTTCTCAGCCGACTGTACTCTCTTTAGCAGTGGTGAGCGGGGCGGCTCCGCACTCTTGGGCCGTGAGAGCTGCCTGCCCAGAGGAGGCGACAAGTGAAGCTTGGCAGGCAAGGCCTGGGCTCCATGGCCAGACAGGGGTGATGGGGAGCGCTGGGGTGAAGCTGCTGGCGGTGGGGAAGGGGTGTGGGCCAGGGGTGACAGTGGGATGCTGCCGGCCGACTTGCGCCGCGGAGAGCGGTACTGGCGCTGGAGCTTGGGTGCCAGGCCGTGCAGGGAGCTGGGCCGTGCGTGCCCAGAGCCGGCTGGAGAACTGGGCACGCTGGAGCTGGGGGAGCTGCTCTGTGACGAAGTCCCTCCCACTTTGCACACACAGACAGACACACAGACAAAGGCAGAGCAATGTTAGCTGATAGAAGTGACTGAGGGGCAAGACAGGGCTAGCCCTGGAATGTCCCAGGATCAAGGTGACCCCAGCCAGTGATCCAGAGCCCAAGCTACAGAAATAAGGTCATCTCCACCCCCATCCCCTCCTCCCTAAGACTGCTGGGTCTTTCAGGAGGTAGGGTGAATGAGTTTCAGAGTGGGGTCACAGAGAAGCACAGAGGGCCCAGGCTCTTTCCCACCTCCCAGGGGCTGTCTCTGAGATCTGCAGGGAGCACTTCATACCTGAATGCACAGCATCGGGGGTCACCCGGTAGCCCTGAGTGGGAGATCGGGGGGAAAGGCTGTGGCTGTGTGTGGGAGAGCCTGGCCCGCTCTCCCCTGATGATAAGGATCGGTTAAGGGAGGAAAGGCTGCGGCTGGTGTGGAGCAGGGATGCCTGCTTGGTGATCTTCCGGAACAGGGAGCTCCTTTTTCTGCTGTAGAAACAAGGGTCATGGGCTGAGTTGGGGCACAGGGCACAGCATATACTGGGCCCAGTGGCCAGGGCCCCCAGCACACGCTAGCCACCCAGGTGGCTTGGTCTGGCTCACCTTTCTTGCCCATCTTTTCCCCGGCTCCGCTTACTCCTTCGGGCCATCTTGGCCTTGTAGCTGCCCTTCCGAGCTGGCCCCACTTTAATGGATGTGTTCTCCAAGGGCGTTGTTGAAATAGACACCTTGTTTCCACTCTGGGGAACAGAGCGTGAACCCAAGCTAAGGTAGTGAACATATTCTTGCTCCCGCCCTTACCCTCGGGCACGGTGACACCACAGCTCTAGCTTTTGCCCCTGCATTAACAAGTCTGAACCACAGGCCTTCCTTCCCTCTTCGCAGATTAGGAAATGGCTCCAACTGGAGCCTGGGCAGTTTGGGGTTGAGAAGGTAGAGAAGAGGCTCATCTGTCTTGTTCTGCAGTCCTGTCCATGGCTCAGAAGGATCCCTGGGCCTTGGTCAGTGAAGACGTTGCTTTCCAGTGAAAACCCATTGCTTTGGGTGCCTCCCGTCCTCAGTGCCACGTGTGCCCAACTCTCCCACTCCCCAATGGCCAGTCACAGACTCACAAGGCGGGGGTCCTTCGGGCACCAGAGAGGCAGCATACCCAGCACTAACCTTCAGAATCAGCTCCACCACTTCTGTGTGCACCAGCCCATGCACAGGCTCCCCGTTGACATGAGTGATGAGGTCCCCCTGACGAAGCCCCGCCTCACTGGCTGGACCTCCATCCTCCACGTGCTGCCCCAGGGAGATAACAGTCCTCAGCCTGGAGCCTGAGCGTGAAGTGTGGGGCCTGGCGCTGCTG